TTTGATTGTGACACAATGGATGAGGTTTCCTCGCCAAATTAAAAGATTATCCCGTAGAACTATTGGCTTTTAGTCACTTGAATCAAAAAGGAAATCATGCAGCCTTGAAAAAATCCCATCGGCTGAGTCACACCACAGTGATGTATTCTTATTTTACACGGTCACTGACATGCACTTGCACTAATATGTCCATACCACATCAAATAGGGGTTTTAATGCAAAGCCAGGCCAGTATGTGGGGTATATTGTACATTACGTTTTTATAAATGAGCACAGATGAAATACAGGAGATAAGGCATGTTCTGGAGAATGATGAGAGCCCATAACAAACATTTATAGCAGCTTCTTCAGACCTTGCGTCACACAAGGACAGAGAGATGTGACTGATTTCAGTCTGCGTGCAGCAAATGGCAGTTTCTGTTCTCTCCTGACGGACGGACGCCGGGCAGGTGAACTGTTATTTCGAATAATAAAAGCAGCGAGAAAGGCCACAGCTGTCAGCTGGAGTGATATTAACTTAATGCGTGAAAATATAGAATTTGTTTTTCTCATAGAAACAAAAAAGCCGCGGGAGTGTGTGTCTATGTGGATGTCGGCTATTTTTAATCATCTGTAAATATATCAATACATTTTCTTGATAAGAATATGACCAGAATACTCAATGTATTGAAATATTGCTTGTTAGTTGGTTATTTAATTTATTTTAACAATCACATAAATACAAGTACCCGGTTCATATGGTCTCACAAGACACTAAAAATAAGATTGCATGTTAGACAACATAACCTCTTACATATTAAATTTAACTGCAAAAAGAAGCACATTCACTAGAATTACAATCAGCCCATTTGTTGATGTTGTATCTAGTCCTCACCTTTTGTCATTAACTCATGTCATAGAGATTTTGGATGTGCCAGACTAAGGAAGATGAAGAATTAAATGATGGAGGAAGAGCCTAAAATTTTTGTCGAATGTTGTTGAACATTGGTCTCCAAATATAATGAGCATCAAAATAGTTCTCTTTCTAAAACACAATTATAAAACCTACCATTAACCGATTTTCTCATAATCATGAAGATTTTGAATAAGCCATAATAAGGAATTACTGTAGGAGATGAGGGAGGACCGAAACATTGTGTTGCTGCTTATTCATATCAATAGAAGCAATTTGCACGTTTTCATGCACCTGATAAGGACACCCCCTGCAGCAGAGATCTGCCCTAATAAAAAAGAAAAGCCTGTAAACATGTGATCGAAGACTTAAAAATGTGAATCAGCATTTTCTCAGGACATGCGGTCAGAAGTCTTTCCCCCAGCCGGCCTGTGATGACCAGAAGACCAGGGCGAACAAGAAGAGGGCTAAATAAAATGACTTCTCAGCCGCTCTGTTGCCATGAACCTGACCCAGACACACAGCTAGAAAACAGCTAAAAAACACTCTCTGTTTCCTCCATCTCAGAAAAGAAAAACAATATTTTTACATTAAAAAAGCTGATGAATGTTTTTCTCCATGTGGGACAGATCTGAGGCTCCCTGGTTAATGCAGTGATTGACAGGCTTTCAGTACAGGTTGTTCTCATGGCTTTCAGTCGATACGTAATCATAAGCAGGATCGGAAAATCCATATCAGTGCATAAAAGCTGAAGGAAATGGAAATATGAGGTGCAGACATTTGATCATAATGTCTCATTAGGACAAATTATGCTGTAGGAGTTTGTTATTTTTTAGCTAGATACATAAAAAAAACTGCATCATTGCTGTTGCTGCTATCACATATGAAGTATATTAACAGAGGCTAAACCTGATCTGAATGGACGAACAGTGTCTGTATTTTAACGAGAAGTCTGCCCTTTTCAGCACCATGAGCCTTCGTCTCATCAGTAATCATTCAGATGTAAATGAGGGTAGTTGCTGCTCGTGAATTGCTTTTGTTTGGGGAGATTGTGTGTGTGTGTGTGTGTGCGTGTGTGTGTGTGTATAAAAGATACGAAGGTCTTCGATGCATCGCTTGTATGAGACGCCCATAACATTTAATACTTCATACTGGGGCGAATAAACAGACAATACGACATGTCAAACAAAACGGCGTGGCCGTCTGACGAGCTGACTGATTCAATCAAATCACATCATGATAAAAACATAGCTGTGTGTGTGTGTGTGTGTGTGTGTGTGTGTGTGTGTGTGTGTGTGTGTGTGTGTGTGTGTGTGTNTGTGTGTGTGTGTGTGTGTGTGTGGGGGAATACCCTTCCACTGGAACAGTCTGGAACCACAAGACTGTTGCCATGGCAACGCAAGGATGGGAATTTCCCTAGTAACAGACAGGATTTGGAGATACTGGTAAGAATGGGAACATCACCTTGACGACTCTGGGAATGTCACTGTGGCAATGGTTGTCCACGTCAGGCCGGTCTCGGGGTAAATGGATAAATGGACGCACGACGGGTGGACAGACGTGTTAACAGAAGATGATGCAGCAGGACAGTCCCTCGTGGAGAAGCATTGATTTTTCATCCATTACAGCAGGGAGTTATGCAAACGCCTCCATTTCAATTCAATTTCAGTTCAGGTTTATTCTTATGGCGCCACACAACATGCATTATTTCCAGGCACTTTACATAGTGAGATTGAGACATTACAATATTACCGAGAGACTCAATAATTTCCATAATGAGAAAACAGAAACTTTTGTGAAACTTCCAGAACTTGACTAAATAATACAAATCCTAATAATAATAGCTGAGTACTTAGGAGAAAAAAAACACAAACTACAGGAGAGAGAAAACATCAAGTTAGTGTCATAGTAACTTCATATAAACACATGGGGGGCAGAAGTATGGAGGGAGAGAGAAGTGCTCAGTGTTTGATGAGATGATGGGAGCACTCTCTGCCTTTATCAGGGCTCCGACCCGAGCAGCTTTAAGCTTTATCAAAGAGGAAAGTTTTCATTTAATGTCAAACGATTATTAAACATGTAGTGGTGCACATATATATATATATATATATATATATTTGACTGACACCAAATAAGAAATCTACTTCAAGCCTGATGAAAAGTTCATTTCTCAAAAAAGGGCCAAACAAGACAAAGTTTAAAACTTTCAAAGACTTAGCCACTAAGAGAGAATGTACAAAGGCCTGAAAAGAAAATGATATATGAGAATATATAGTATATTGAAATTGGGAGAATGATGCTAGTGAGTGTGAAGGGTCAGGCTTCATACAGAGTACTGATTACATACAGAGCCGTTCTTATAAATACAATTGAAGACACGTTGCCACTGACATGCACCTACAGTTATATATCAAGTATTTTAATGGCTGGAATACAGAAGGTACGTTCCAGAGAACGATGAGAGACAATAAAGAACAGTTGCGGCAGCATCTTCAGACGGTGCGTCACACAAACAAGGACAGAGAGACTGAAATGAGTCTGTGTGCAGCAGCGGGCAGTTTCTGTTCTCTTGCTGTCGGCTTTACGCGAATGAAGATATAGACCGTGCTGCAACATAACAAAATATAGGAAACAAGAAATGCAGTTGCACTGGGGAGAGGTGTGCACATACATCACATGAAATATCAAATGTTATGATTTCATGTGATCTGCACATGCAGTGGTGGGTGATACCTGCCAGCAAACGTAATTGCCATTTTTCTGATCTAACTAGGATACGTTATTGACGGCACCACACAACGCGCAAAAGCAGTGTGAAGGGAATATTGTCAGTTGGAGCGCTGGTTACAAGCTTCACGTCTTCTCCTCCCTCCTTCTGCCCTATTGCACAAGATGGATCCCTCACAAAGATGGAAAACACCCATGCCTCTCTCCCTCACACACACACACACACACACACACACACACACACATAGAACTGGGTCAGCCTGGCTTTTTTCTGTCTTTCTGCATTAGCGTACTTTTACACATTCACCCTCTCTCTCACTAACACACACACACACACACATATGTTCAAAGGGGATTCCCCCCCCTGCTGATGGCTGCCCCGACGAAGACGAAATCACTGCCGTGTGCGTAGGTAGAATGGGTGTGGTCACATGTACGTGTGCGTGAGGAGCCGTATCAAATAATTAGTGTCAACAACCAATGTGGAAAAAGAATGACTGCATCCACAGGAGAAGGTGTGATGAGGGGTAGTGACGATAGACTGGGGAAAAAAGCATGTCTGTACCTGTCGGAGATGCTCCACTGTCAAGTCACCAGTTGTGTCTCGTTCTGAGCAGCTGTAGTTTCATTTCATTTCATTTTTATTTCATTCATTTCTGGTTTGATTGCAAGTTGCAGGAATCAAACAGCAAGAGGCAAAAGTGAGTGCTGCTTAATTGTCTCAATATGAAATAGCCCAGAGCGCCTGAGTTTGATAAGGATAATGAAAAAAAAAAAAACATAATGATTTTCATCTCCTTGCAATATTAGATCGGTGTTTATGTAAACATCCCATCTAATATTTTACTATTTTTGAGAAGAGTAACATCTTATCTTAAAAATATAATGCTTCAGATGGAGATAAACAAAAACATCAGAGATCCAAAGAATCATCTACGTTTTACTGACTCATACCTACAAACTAAATATGACGGCTTCAAAGCTACAACGCAGCTGCTCTTTGCTATCAGTGGTTCAGAAATAAATTATCAGCGTCATTCGAGTGGAACAATGATGGCGAAGGAAGGATTAGTCCAAGAATCCTGTAATGGATTGGATTTGCTTGACTAGTCTCTCCAGAGGAAATCCCTCAGGATGCAGCAGGTTACATGTGGCCACATTGTACTTCCTTAATGCTGAACCGCATTGTATCCCCAGTGTGGCCTTCTGGGAATGTGTGTGGAAATTGAATTCACAGGATAAATTTGTGCATAAATTGCATAAAAGCTGACGGCGCTTATTTAAAGTTTCACTAAATCGTATGACGTCTGACATGTCGTGATTTGAAGTTGAATTCTTAAAAACAACCCGTGTGGTTCTCTCTGTTCTGTCTGTGTTATAGAACCACAGCTGAAGGGCATAGTGACCAGGTTGTTCTGCAGACAGGGCTTCTATCTCCAGATGGGCCAGGATGGAAGTCTGGACGGGACCAAAGACGACAGCACCAACTCCTGCAAGTAGACACACCACACACATATACAATATATGAAAGTAAATATGCTAAGAGCTTGTAAATGTGCATTTTTCTAAGGTAAACCTGTTTAAATATATAAATATATAACAGCAATTGTGTTTTGATAGAAAAGTACTGCAATTTAATTACTTTATTTACTCAACATAATGAGAAAAACATTTTTAATTAAGAAACTGGCCGAGTTGCAAAATGTTCACTTACTATATACACCATATTTCAATTGCTTCCTTATATCCACTCTCAGCAATACAATATTCGCTCACAGTAAATTAAGTTTCATAGGATTGTATTCAAGCCCTCAAAACAGTGGGTTTAGTTTTGGGAAATGATGTGGCAAGAGTGACTTAAAGCACAAGACATTACATCTTTATTTAACATTTTATTATTTAAGCAAAACCTCTATCCTTACTATAACCGATGTGCCTGAATCCCGGAGATGTATTTCTGTTTCAAAAACGAGCGAATACTGAAAAAACAAGCTTTGAATTACATCATGTCGCACAGTAGAAAAAATGATTTGTTCCCGTGCCAACTGCAGCTGCACCCAGCTGCACATTACATCACTCACTATACAGAAAAGGGAGGATCTGTAATCCACAGCAACGTATGCATTTATTTTAAGTGGCTCTTATATAATCCATCAATTAGCAAAGCAGCTACAAACATATTGTACAGCTACCCCACCTACCATTTATAGAATGCTGATATCAAAGCCTGACAGTCATTTTAAACGTTGGTATAGATCGACGTTCACAGCGTATGAAACTATAAAGACAGTTGAAGTGTTTTTATAACGGCTCTGTTTGGAACATTTCATAAAGTGCAGGCATTACGGCTTCAGAGCGTTCCACTGAAAGCAACAAGCCGTTGCTCAGAGCATTTTATTTTTTAAGGCCTTTTTTTATTAGACCTCTACACTCGACACAACCTTCAGGGAGGAGCCGCAGACGGATGGCGTATTGACAAATGTAGCTTTCGCCACATTCCAGATTGGAACTCTTGGAGAAAAAAATTATTGTTGATAACTAAAGCATCCAACTCACTGGTCCGAAGTGTCCTGGTTGCTCTCTGTCAGTCGCCGGTTGCAGCTATGTCCCACTTGTTTACTAGGATTTTCAGACATGGCTCTTCTTGCACATCAAACAGAATTTCTTGCAGCTTGCAACCCTGAATGCTGTAAATGTTGTTTAGAGAGATTCAGCATTAATATCTGTGCAACTCTGATAATGAGGCCTCTGCTATTTGGATTATTTAGAGTATCCAGAAAGATGCACTGCTGTGGAGGCAGAACACTTACATGAGGATATTTTACAGCAAGATATCAAACTCACAGCATGAAACGACAATATCTATACATGCTTCAGCCAAAACCAATCTTATCCCTGAGATGAAACAGCTCAAGATCCAATATAATAAAAAAGTGGAGATGAAACACACTGTGCGGACAATGCAAAATATTGTTTTTGTGTTTGTTTTGTATCGGTGCGAGGGTTCAAATCGGAGAAAGGGGTAGGAAGATCAAACCACAGCCAAAGTCTGGTAATTTGTCAAAAGTCCACAAGTGGAGACGGTGAAGATGAGTGGAGAAACCTTGGGTGACCTCAAAAACACGGAAAAAATAAAACTGTGTGTAAAAACTCAAGTGAAATAACCTTTATATATTACTATATATAATATAATTACTATAGATATTTGCACATTTACCAACACTGACATCCATTCACTGTAAAATATGAACATTGAGTCATACCACTTGATATATGAATCGAGGCAGGGCTGAACAGCTGGACTGTCTGTTTCTGTCAGCAGGCTAATCAATATGATGATAAGAGCTGAACAGGTTAAAGAGCTGCCATTTCAACTGACCTCAAAGTGATTTCAGCATCTTTTGAAAGGTCACAGCAATTGAATTAGTTTGCTTCCTGTATTAGTAATTACTACTAGTAATAGTGTATTGTAATAGTAAGTATAATAATATTCAACATGCATCATTCTAGTTTTTCTTTGCTTTAAATGGTCTAGTGTAGCTGCTCCTCTAATGTTCTTTCTGGGTCTTTCACTCGCAGACTATTATTCTAGATATTTGTGAATCACTTCTGTCTCAGCATACTTTGATTGTTTGGAGGTATAAAGACACATTGTCTGGGTTTTTAGGTATGATGAATATTTCCAGTTAAAGCAGTGGTTTGAATTTTCAGTCAGTGTTCTGCAGGCATCTTCTCCTGCAGACTTTAAAAGCCCTGCAAGCAGCCCCCCGAGGGTGAACTGCTTTATCACCTCACCAAACCAGTGGAGCAACAGACGAACATTTCAGCGCTCAGAGCACACACACACACACACACACACACACACACACACACACACACAAACAGACACACATGAAAATAAATGTTTCTGTTTTTTGTCCTCAGCTCTGTTTAACTTAATTCCTGTGGGTCTGAGAGTCGTGGCCATCCAGTCAGTCAAGACTGGCCTCTACATCGCCATGAATGGAGAGGGTCACCTCTATTCCTCGGTGAGAACACATACGAACACATACGAACACACACTCACACACACACACACACACACACACACACACACACACACACGGAAGCAAAGGCACAAGAATAAGCAATTGCTTGCCAGTTTGTGACATGTCACGGTGCACAGAGCTGTTGTGGAACTGGGCAGAGGCTGTATGTCATTCTTATTGCTCTTTTCTTTTTTGAGCAGCAGCCAGTCCTGCCGGAGGCTCACAATAATGTTTGTTTTTGGGAAACTGTTGCACTTCATTGCAAATGTGTCAGGTCCCAGGTGTTTGGTTCTGATCTGTGTCATAAAGCGTTCCAGGATTTCAATAAGAGACAAACAGTAAAATCATTAAATCTCTGGTAATTTATTTGTAACCTCCAGTCGCGACATTTTTTTATGATGACATTTTAATCAAATTGGTGATTTATTGTTGCTTTCTCCAACAACTTGCAGTGAAGCTTTGAACTGTCATGAAATAATTTTCAATTTTCAACATTTTCACTGTTTTCCAAAATTCCAATTCAATTAAATCAGGTGTATTTAGGGACATGACATCTGTGAATGTTTGAAATTTAGTTTAGTTTAGCTTATTTGATTTTTATGGGACTTTTAGGCCTTGGTCCTTAGTTTTCACTATCCATGAATCTAATGATTTAAAGTAACTTTCTTAAAACAGATTTCCTCCTGCTTTCGTCTCATTATTCTGCTTGATGAGGCACTGGGTGATTCTAGCTGCTGTATAGACCATTGCATCCTCTGTGTCCAGAGACTTGAGTCTGTCTGCAGAGCGGCTCCTGCTCTGTCTGAAGAAACGCTATACCCCGAGCAAATAAAGGGAAATGAATAATGAGCAGTTTAAACAAATCTTTCTCTAAATCATACAATCTGCAACTTACATTCAGGCTTAAACTTAAAGGAGAATTTGTGGGACAATAAAATCAAGTCATTATGTAGATTGTTCCAAAGAAGTGGCACAGAGCCGCAATTGATAAATTCTTAGAGATCAATCCAAAATGAAAAATGAAAACGTGTCCAACTAAAAATTAGATGAACTTTCTTTTTCATTCTTGTGAAAAGCCTGGCTGCTGTTACTGATTGAGACAAGAATACAGAGTCGGAGCAAGCGGTGCATAATAACACAAGAAGATGGAGGTGGTGAAGAGCAAGTGGAAGGGTGGAGGACAGAGGGGAGGTGAGGTAGAGGCGTAGCGACCGACTGCGAGGAGATCTGCTCGAGCAGAATATGAATTATTTCCACGCTGACTCTTCTGAGAGAGTTCACACTCCTTTACTGATGTCTCTTCTACATCTCATCGTCCCTCTTACCTCCCCTCCATTTCTTTGAGATGACAGGTGCAGGAGAAGAGCGGAAAGGAGACAATGGGTGGAGGAGAAGACGAGAAAGGAGAGGTGATGGAGAGAGGAGGCGAAAGTGGGTTGGAGGGAGAAAGGAAGAGGCAGAGAGAGGAGAAAAGATGAAAGGAGGGAAATGAAAGGGAGAGGTGAGAGGAAGAAAGGTGAGGCCAGGATAAAACATGGAAAAAAAGACGGGGCGGGGAGAAGAAAGGATTGGGTGGGTGGCAAAAGAAAAGAGGTGAAGAAGAAATGGGACATGGATGTATAATGAGAAGAAAAAGGTGTGAAGGGAGTAAAAAGGTTGTTTACAGAAGATGAAAAAGGGGCAGTGGGAGGAGGGACATTGGTGGTAGAGGAGAAAAAAGGTAAAAGAAGTTTGCACACAAGAGGAAAAGATGGAGACGAGGGAAAGAAACTGTTATAAACAGAAAACAAGGAGAGGCACCGAGGAATGAAGAGACATAGAGAAAGGAGGAAATAGTACAGAGGATGGAGAGGAAGAAATTAAATAGCTGCAGACGGGTTCAAGACGAAGAGAAAGGAGTAATCAGGAAGAGGAAGAATGGAGATCTGTGCTGCTCTGCTGGGCTTACTCAGCCTGTCGCTGAAAGTCACAGATGCATGAGGGCTGCCTGTAAATAACTGAAGAGGGGGAGTTCCCCCCTACACACACACACACACACACACACACACTAAACACATTAAATACACACTGTAGAAATCCCCTCAAAAGCTGCGTCGACGGAAAGTGTGAACGTTTGATCATGTTCCAGTTCGGCGACTGAGGTGCAGGCAGCGACATGATCACAAATACATAAATAAAATACAGCAGGTCTAATTTATCATGATGTCACTGCTTCCTGATGTTTCATTGGTTGCTGCTGTGAAGGTCCTGACAAGTGTGCTGTGTGGTGACGGTGCCTCCGTAGATGCTCATTAAACATTATATTGCAGTTTGTTTTATTCTGGACGTTCACTTTAATGTATTTTTGTAATTGGTTCGGTTCAGGTTCACAAAGACCGAGCAGCTTATTTATTGAGTTTTTCATTTATTTTATCCTCCCAGCTTAATTATTGTAGAGGTGACAGGAGGTCGATACAAATCAGATTCTAGTTCCTGTAACTCCACCAAAAACACACGGGGAAGTTGTCACCACTCTTTGTTATAATGTGTTCCACATGGATCATTAGTCTGCAGCATTTTGGCCCTTTGTAGATATTTATGTTTTTATGTTCACTCATAAGTGTTAGGTTGTTCTGGTGCTGCGATATCATGGCAGATCAACAAACATAGAAGAACCAATAACTTGATATTCCTGTATTAACATACATTATGCTCTTATTCAGGTTCATAACTTTAATTTGTGTTATCACCTGAAAAGGTTTACATGCTCTCAAAACAGCTTTTTCTTATTTACTTCTGTTTGTCAGTGTAGCAGCCTGTTACTATGATAATTGAAAAATCTATTTTAGACCCACCCCTGTCTAAAAAATAAACATGTAGGACGTGTCCTTGTGTGGTGTGTTCCGTACAACAGAGCTAGTTAAGTCTGAGCCTGCTCTGCTTTCAGTGAGATTCTTTATCCTCTAATTGCAAATTGTTAATGATATGCTGCAAACTTAGTTATACATGGTAGGACCTTCTTATTAATCCCAGATCCTGGGCATCTGGCGGTGTGTGGTTGTGCATGCACGTGTGGCGTGTGCACACGTGTGGGTTTTTGGTGCGTGTGTGCGACCAACAGATGGCACAGTGCAATGAGCTGCAATGTGATAATTATGGAGCATGCTGGGGAAAGGAGGCAGAAAAAAAAGGTGCTGATGAGTTTGAGACTCGATGTGTGTTTGTGTGCGAATGGAGTGTAGAGAGTGTGTTACTGTGCAGAAATGTATTGAAATGCACATATCGTGTGTGTGTGTGTGTGTGTCTCAGTCTCAGGGTTGTTAGGTGGGTGTCAGGATGTCGGCACAGAGGTGAAAGAGGAAATTGGGTTTCCTCTAATACACTGCTATAACTGCTACTCCTACTACTGCTACAAGAATAAGGTGAGACAGAGGATAAACAATAATATGTGAGGGATGAAACGATGTATAGTATTTAAAAAGGCTTTCTTGTTGAGATTATAAATTGTAGAAAAATCCCCAAGGAGACAAACATTTGAATCTGGAGTTTTCTCAAGTACATTCTGTGGATGAGATCAATACAGTCATGACATGATGTCAAGATCATGACTGAGGCTCGTGTGAGGCTATTTATTTGAAATCTGAATAGTGCTGACTGTCCACCAGCCAAGTTTAGAAATGGAAATGTATTTCTCCATGCCAGCTCCTCTGAGTCAGACTGTTAGAGCAGACAGACCTGCTCGAGAGGCCCTGGGAGCCCAAACACCATCAATTCAAGTCCACTCTCCATCCGTCTCTTTCATCCGCATGTTGCTCCTCTTGTTTATTTGCTGATCCTCTTATCTCCTCTTTCTACCTCTGTCCCTTTAAGTCCAGGCATCTTCAGGTCACAGATACGTCTTTAAGTACTGCAGGGGTCGGCGAGTAGCCTGCGGTCATTTTCCCTTCAACAAAGATTTAGTTTGAGAAATCAGTAAATATACAGGTGGAGCATCACAGGGTGGACAGCTCCTGGTGCTGAAATGAAGTCTAAAAAAGAAAAGAAAAAAACACTCACTATTATAAAGAATATAAAAAAAGGACTGAAACTGTTTTGAAAGTAATCTGAGTTAGTTCTATTTCATTGATTACACCGTTAAAAAGTAAATGGGGAGCCTTTTGTACAATGTGCATCCGTCCTTCCATTTTCTTTTCACCTTCTTTACTTCTGTATCTCTCTCTCTCTCTCTCTCTCTCTCTTTCTCTCTCTCTGAGATACATATTTTCTTACAACAGGTTGCTTTGAATGAACACAGGAGTGTGTGTGAGTGTGTATGGCGTGCACTTCCATTCATTATACAGTCAGTATGGTACTCAGAGAGAGTGAGTCCTGTGATGTCTGCATCCAGAAAGATGAGAGGGAGGAGGAGTGGCAGAAAGAATAAATGTTAGCCATGTGAGTCATGACACACACACACACACACACACTTTGTGGTGACTAGAGAATGAATGAGTTACTTTTCAAAGGTGCCACTCTAAGAATAATGACATTAGAAAAGCACAGGGCACAGACGCAGACATCACACTCAAACAGCGACACCATGGAATGAAATGAGCTGAGTCAGTAAAGGAAGTGAGAAGTTTACAGTCGTTCTCTCGTCTCTTTCCAGAACTGGTCCTTATAGCGCATCGCCGCAGCTGTAACACACCTGATCCAATTAGGAGCCGCACATTTTCATTACAGTGTAATTGGATGAAGTGGTTGAGGAACACGCTGAGAGCGACTGTGATCAGAGTCAGATTCCAGCTTTGATTCTATGTCTGGGCCGCAGGACGTCCTCACATCCCCTCCTCTAACCACGCTCTTAACTCTTTTGTTGTCGCACTTTTCTTCCACTCCTCCGCCTTCTTCTCCGTAGGCTTCTTTTCTTTAGAATGATTTGTTTACCCACAATTCCCCTGGGTAATTAGTGCTTTGATAATAACTGGTGTTGGAAATAAACACACCCACTCACTAAGCAGCTCACACAAACAGACACAAACGTGACCAAACACCCACATGTGTCTTTACACATGTGGGTGAAAAAAACAACTTTCTTGAGCTTGGTTACATTAAATTATGAAACACTCTTAAATGAGGCGGGTAGATCTGACCACATGTTAGTGTAGTTTGAAAAGTAGTAGTAGTTTTAACCTTCCACAAGACTTAGTTTGAATTAATGTTTAAAAACCAGAGGTTGAAGTATTTCACGTCATTTATTAAACATCATTTTGATTATTTGATATTTTTTCATATCATTGTATGGATTTCAACTATATCACACAGCCAGATCTTATGACTTCTTAAAATACATTTTTACAGCTGCAGCATTAAAACGTGTCAATATTTTAGTTTTACTCTTTACTTGCTCTTTCTCCCCATTTCACGCTGTATAGCAACATTTTTGAGGAGGTGCACATCCCTGCAACCTGTTAAGTATCCGTCTATCTGCAGTCAGTCATTCAGACAGTCAGTCTTTAGAGTGAGATCTCGGGGTCACCAGCCTGACCTCTCTGCCCTCCATCACAGTATGATGCCACTCATCCAGCTCCCTTTAACAAGACATGTTCCCAATCGCATGTGGATTAAAAGCTTTTGAAAATTACAATTATTGTTGTGCTTCTACTGGGAGGCTCCCAGTGGCCAGCAGTCAAGCTGTGTTAGCACTGGGCAGCTGATTGCCATGTGTTATTAGTGCAGCCTGGTGCTGGGCCAAGAGTTAACTCTGTGTTTCCCAGTTGTTTCTTATTTTGAAGTCTTTAACGCCTCTGCACACCTACAGGCAGGTGTTTACTGTGGGAAGACTCCCCTCTTCTGCTGGAGGAGCCCATGAAAGTAAACTGAAGACCTTTAGTTTTAGCTGCACCTTTCAGTAGTCTGGTTTAAATTGACCATATTATTTTTATTCCTTTTGTTATTTTTAATGTGTGTATTTGTTTAAATCTGTGTCTCATTTGTGTCTTTAAACTAACCAGTTTTCTGGTTACAACTTCCATGGTCGCTTATGCTTTGTTTTGTTTCCACCTGGAACGAAATATGTTATGTGTCCATACAGTCCCTCGCCTACACATTCTGCAAATTCACACGCAGAGTCTGTTTATAGAGATCATTGAATACTAAGTTTACATTTACACATCTTCTTCAAGGTCCATTTTAAGGCAGCAAATGTGTGTGTGGAAATTTCTTTTTTGACAGACAGTTTCATTCTACTGTTAATTTTGTGGCTTGCATGTAAGGCGTTATTTATTTATTTATTTTTGTGACATCATAAATTCCTACCTTTGTTCCACACAGCTTCAACCTGGCTAGGTGCAATCAGCCAGGGTAATTAACCACACGTGTGCAGAGGCTTTAATAGATGCAGGACAAAGTGCTGCCTGCATCAATTTAGTCTGTTTTGGAGCTTTGGAGGATATTTAATATGTTAATGGCCTCTGTCTGATTATGGCAATCTGAAAAACAGCACCTATTCAGCCATGCGTGTGTGTTGTGTTGTGTTGCATGCATGTGTGCAGCGTATTATCCTTCACTATATCTCTGCAGCGCACAAAGAAATGACAGAGTGAGGGGGGAAAAAAGAAGAGCGATGAGAGAAACAAAAGATAAGAGAAGGGAGAGAGAGAGAAAGAGAGAGAGAATCCCCTGCTGTGTTTCCAATCAGGAGGCGTCGTCCTCCTCGCCGAGTGATTTATTCTCTCTTCTCTCCTCCATGTCCCAATTTCCAAGCCACCCCCCTGCGCTCTACTCCGCCCCACCCTCCACGTCTTTCATTCATTCTTTCTTCCTGTGGGCAGCTGGAGAACATACCAATTAGAAATGACGACAGAAACACATTCAGGCAGGCACCGTTGTTAAAATGACTCACCTGTTAGGCTGCAAGGCTCTTGTCTGAAGTAATTCTCACAGTTCGTTCTTTCTTCCCATCTCAAATTTTAGTCTGGAATAAATGCTACTGCAAATATCAGACATTTATATTTATTTATATCTTTTATATAAAAGAAGCATTAAAGGCTTTATGACCACACTGACCAACAGAAATTGGCGTCTGGAAGATGAACATCCTATAACTAATGAATAATGAATGGGGTTTGGAATAAATATACGTTTTATTAAGTTTATCTAATTCAGGAACGAAAAATATGATGCTATTAATACATATCAAAGCCATGGTTGCCGAAGGAGAACATTTGACATTGCCAATGAATGAAACACTCATTCATTATCACCTGTCTTGTTTTGTCGCCAGCCAATCATTTAGTCACATTTCACATCCCGGCGAGTCCCCTCCTGCACCTCCCTCCATTCATCCCCTAGAGCCACAAGTGTGTGTGTGTGTGTGTGTGTGTGTGTGTGTGTGTGTGTGTGTGTGGCAGTGTGTGATCCCTTGCAGCTGGTGCCACCCTGCCCTACCCTTATTAAGTGTCATCCTGTGTTAGCATGAGAGCCCAAGATGTAACACACTATATGTTAAATACCCAATGCATGTGTTTGTGCGTGTGTTTCTCCCCGTCTCGCTCATGCTGCCCACCTCTCTCTCACACACACACACCCACTGACCCCTCCCTCTCAGCACTGGTTGGTTGCCACGGCTACAGTGTCGCCTCTCTTCCTCATGTTGCTATGAGACTCGGACCAACAGACCTGAGCTGAATGACAATGTGTCTGTGGCTTGATGGCAAGAGGTCCACAACAACCAATAAGAGACGGTCTAGACAGACACTTCCCATTCTGGGGTCTGGGGACCTCGGGGGCGATTGTTTGGTTTGGCAGGAGCCTCCTCCGCCATTTGAGGAGTAATTTATTAATATTATTACTTTTCACTTCCTCAGCAGATGTCTCAATGAGGAATATGTGTGCGTCACTGAATGCTCAATAATTATGAGAGTGCATTGATGAAATCTATGTCTGATAAAGATATTGCCTTAAGACAGGAAGATTCATACAGTGATGAATAAAACACATTTCATTACGGATGAGGAATTCAAAAACAATCATTGACTGTTGTTTTAATATGTAAGTGAATCATTTAGAATGTGTAATATTCAAAGTGATGCTTATAGTGACAAGAGGATAACCAGCTCTACAAGTCTACTCTTCTAGCTCATTGTTTTGGTTTTCTCTCAAAAGTTGCACTGCTCTCCCAGACTCTATTCATTTCATATAAGAAAATGGTGAAAACTTCCTATTTGAAATCATACATCATTGACCTCGGCTTTAAGATGTCACTATTGCTTGAGAAACTGCAGGAGGATTCTGTCCTCTTTTTCCCTGACCTCCCCTAAAAAAGAATATTTTAAGTCAGCCTGCCTTTTATACTCCCTGTGTATCTGTCCTGCACACAGACACTAGATAGAGGCAATTTTTTCCCTCTCCCGGTAAGAATAACACCTTGTTTCTGTGCAGCAGAATGCTCAGCTGGAGGTGCCAGCACCCAAGGAGGAGAGTTTTGACACATAACGGCAAAGCAGATGTGGGTGGGCATGCGAAATCTGTGGGGCATTGTGTCACCAGATTCAATCCGCTTTTTTTTTTCTTTATCTATGTCGTTTCTTATTCATGTGCACACAGAGGGAGTGATGGGGGAGAAAGACAGGTCAGAGCAATACACCATAAAGTGAGTGTTGTGCTGCTACTGTCGGTCTGTGGCTGGTCAATATGGTTTCATTATTTTTTATATCAGCTCTCAGACCAGAGAATGCCCAGGACAGGATTTTGTTTGTTTTGTTACTTTTAAAACAACGCTCTGTAATTTCTTTCTGTCTCTTTTTGTGTTTCTCCTCAGGAACTGTTTACAGCAGAGTGTAAGTTTAAGGAGTCAGTGTTTGAGAACTACTACGTGATCTACAGCTCTATGCTCTACAGACAGAAGGAGTCGGGCCGGGCCTGGTTTCTAGGCCTCAATAAAGAGGGTCAGGCCATGAAGGGCAACAGGGTCAAAAAGACCAAACCAGCTGCACACTTCCTGCCTAAACCTATAGAAGGTAACATACTGCACATGCATGCATTCCAGTTATTATCGTTTGGAGTTTATTTTCTACTAACTTTTCTCCTTCCTCTCTTCCAGTTGCAATGTACCGTGAGCCTTCGTTGCACGATGTAGGGGAGGCGGTGCCTAAACTCGCCGGGGGCCCGCCTTCCAAAAGCACAACCAGCGAACCGGTGGTCATGAATGGCGGCAAACCAGTCAGCAAACCCGACAAGGAAGCGACATAACCCCACCTCCATTTTCTCGCCCTCCTCTGGCTGACCAAAGGCCAGGAAAAAGACTCGCCCCACTGCTGCGCTCTCAAAAAAAAACAAATCAAGCAACATAAGGTAACAAACACAAACAACAGCTCAACTTCTGACTGGTCAGCAGTGGGGCCGCACAGCCCGCCTCACCTCTGTCCCTATTGGATGGATCAGGTTGTTGTGGGGCGGGGCCAAGGGGACAGAGCGCTGCGGCTGGTGGGAAGAGGAGAAAGAAGACGGGCCACTGCCAGCCAGATATTTTGGAACTGGGACAGTGGTACGCCCTCGTATTAGAGACTTCTTAAAGAAAAAAGAAAAAAAATCGTCCTCCCGGTATTTTTCTGTGACAATCTGTAAGATCGAGGCCCCAGGTTCCTCTGCTCCCTGCAATGTTTTCTGTTGCCAGGTTTGCTTGCTCACTAGTGGCTACACACAGACACACACACCCCGACCCCAGAATCAACCGCTGGGATTCGATCTTTGAGTAAAGCAGATTAATAACATCAGCAAACATCTGGCAGGGAGAACAAACACTGATGATTCAGATGATGCTTAGTCATTGATCAGTTCAGACTTGGCACAGGTCATTCAGTGTGAAACTTACAATGACATGTACTTGAAAGTGGCACTGTGCATTACATACAAGGCAAACACACACGTTAACCCGTCTCTGATTTTCATCACTTGCAGTATATCTCTTCTTATTTGAGACCACGTAGCTCAAAGCATGTTTGCCTTTTCAGCATTCCTTTACTCTATCTGTTCAGTGGTTTTTTATCCTGCACACAAAGCACTAGTGATTATTGAGCTACATTGTTGAACAGACAAAAAAAATGATTTTAGTTTCTACCTCTCACTTCTTTTTTATTTTCCTTCATTCCCTTGAATAAATGCTGAGATTTCTGTCACAAGTGTAGCTCCGGAGATGACGTGTAGCTGAAAGCAGATAGAACTCCACAAAGTCCCTGTTTCCTGTAGCAACACAGAGAGTACAGGGGGCGTGTTGGCATCAGAGCAGAATGGTAGCAGTGTTTACATGGAGTAGCATATATAGTTGAGTGGGATGGGCCAGAACGTGGTGGTTACGTCTGTTCCCTTCCCAAGTACTTGAAATTAAAGGTAGAAATGAGGGTAAGAGTTAACAGGGTAAAGGAAGGTGATAAAGCCACTATGTGTAAATACTTTACTGGCCCACATAGGGTAAGTCCACACAAATACGTTTTCAGTTTAAAATGGATTTAGAGCTTAGGAACCAAAACAAAACAAGGTGAGGTGTACAGCATTAATGCCCCTCAATCTGAGAGGTCATAACACGACTAACAACGAAGAAAGAAGAAAACGTGACCTATTCAGGCCTTGCATAGTATTTATATAAGTCATTCATTGAGGATGTTGCTGTTGTCTTGACAGTTCATAAATGTGCAAAGTGCTTTTCATTTGCAAGCATTTTTTCTAAATCTTGATCTGAAAAATAAGTAAAGCTGTTGGATAAATGTTGTGGAGTGAAAAGTTCAAACTGAAATGTTGAAGTAGTAAGTAGAAGAAAATGAAAATGTTTAAAGTCCAAGTGCCTCAAAATGTCCTTAAGTTTGATACTTGTTTGGAAATGTACGTTTCCAACACCGGTCTCATGTCTCCACGTCAGTTTATCTGAGTGGATCCGAGCAAACTGGGAATCAGCTGTGATCCTAAGTAAAATCATTTGTGAAAATACATTTCCCCCGTAGCCAGGTGATCTATTTAACATTTGAAATGGGGCCTAATCAGAACAGGTCTGACTGTTAATGGATCCTGTCAGATCTGGTCTTTTTTGTTCTTTTTTTAAATTTTAATTAATTTATGCCTGGTCAGGATTTAGTTTTCTGTAGGACTGTGGACGATGATTTGAATAATGCTGTATTTGCATTAAAAGTCTTCACATAGTGGCTTTAAATAAGCCTGCACTATAAAAACAGTTATTTAAAAAGTGTAAGAAATGTGTTTTCTGAAGAAAAACCATTAAAGACAAATAGCTCTCATTGATCACAGTGGCAAAATATGGGTTTGTGTGTGCAACGTGAAGCTACAAGGCAGAAAATGAAATGAAACCGATTCCCATGTGTCGTCCCTCTCACTGTGACAGTCAACATGGCAGCGGTCTGTTCTGGACCTGAATCCTGTTGGACACCCAGGCCTTTCTGTTTACCCCTCGTTCTCTGACATCAAGTCTAGACGCCAATTAACTCCTCAAAAAGTTACACCAGTCGCCGGTCGTACCACTGAGGAGATAATAATACTGTGATCCCACACTTCATGTTAGTATCAGTGACAATGAGGCAGACACATGCTGATGAATATATTCAGTATGAAACAGAAACCCTGCGTCTCTTTTGCTCCCCAATTTCGGGCGGAGTGAAATAATCACCGGCGTAACCAGAAGTACAAAGACACAATGAGACAAAGCAGCCGCCCTTGACAAAAATCAAGGCTGCGTGATTAATCCTCACAATTGTTCCGACATCAAACAAGCATCAGCCCGAATCAGCTGCACACCCCCAGCCTCAGCAACAGGCACGTGTCTGTGCCGCAGCTGAAACGCTGCACTCCAGTGAAGCCACTGTAACGTGTTGAATGTCGTCCCGCTGTGAGGATTACGCTCCGTAACTGAAGAGACTGTGAAAATGCTCTACAGCTCACAGTGTTTCTAATTGGCATTTCTCACATTTTTTCCCTTCCCTTCACATCACACCACATTGTTTCCTCTCTCTCCTCTGATCTCATTAGCTTTGTCTTCTGGATATGTGCAGCTTGACCAGTTTTCATTACGTAAACTCACCCTGTCCAGTGTGTCCGTGCTGGTGTCGGCTCGTGGCCTTTCCGTTCTATATTGAAAGAAAACAGTTTAAGGCTCATTAATGCTCAGCGTTAGATATGTATACAGAAACTTACTGATCCTCGTTTCCACCAAACTTTGTCCATATGCAAGTCAACAACAAGTGTATTTTATTCCTATTCCATGATCTCCGTTGTGTTCGCAACTCTCTCCCTTTCAGTCTGGTTTTAACCAGCAATCTAAAGCAACAGTTTTTGTCTCAATATTGCTCCAAACACATATTCTACAAAACCGTGTGACAAAATCTCTCCCATGTGGCGTCTCTATCCATTCATAAAGAAATACATTTCAGTGCATTGAACACTAGGATGCAGAGTCTTATATACGTTGTATATGAAACAGATTTACAGACACAAAACTTTGTGGAAGCGATCTGATCTGTCCGTACTCCGGCGTTATTATCGTCCGTGTTTGTGCACGTCTTCTGAAAACGTACAGATTCGGATGCAACAGAGCAGTAGCACTTGAAATTGTAAGGGAGGGACGGACGCTTGAACCAATAGTTCAAGCGTAGGACACGAGGAAGAAATTCCAGTTTGTTATTGTCAGAAACTCCAGCCTCTGCGCTGCCTTATAGTGGATGCGTGCACGGAAGTATGCAGGCAGTTATTTTTCTCTTTTCAAATGTTAAGGCAGCACAAATGAGCCATTAGAGAACCAATTGCAAAATACTTATTGATTAATAACAAATATTAAAGTACATTTTCAAGAGGGATCAGAGTTTAGCATTTTCAATTCACGTGACATGTGATGTTAGTCCATCAGAAAGTGTCTCTCTTCCCCTGCCAAGCTCAAGGTGTGAGATCCAGGGCGGCTATAGATTTATGCTTAGCTCAGCCGTCCTCGAAGTTAGCAGTTTTACACAAGATTTCAAAATTCAAATTCAAAAGTCGATTCACTTCATCCTGTCTTACGTTACTTTAAAAGCAAATAGGGATTAAAAAGTGGACGACTTGTGATCAGTGTTGTGCACGTCAAATAAATGTGGATGTACAATTATTTGTCACACCATGAAAAAGGTTAAAAAAACAAAAAACCTGACAAACAGGTCTGTAAACATCCTTTTTATTTTTCATGCATCTTGTGTTGTCCCGACTGCCTGTGTCTTTCCAAGGAGCCTTTTTTTGGTGACCATCTATAGATACAGCCGGTAGCATGACTCCAGGACGGTAACTGCTCTTCACTGAGTGATTATCAAGCAGCTAATTTGTGCTGCACTGCTGGCAGAGGAACAGGAGGCAAATCTACTCAGATCGGAGAGGCCCTGGCTTGTTAGGCCTGCAGAAGGGTTCACATCCTGTAAAACGCTGCGATTGAAGATCTGTGGGACACGCGCAAGATATAATTATGGTTGAGGCCAGAGAAAATTGGCCTGGTTTCCTGGCTACTGACCAAAGCCTCTGCTACAATAGCATTTCCAGGCTTGTAATCACAGTTCCTGGTTCAAACAACGAAGGCGCAATTACTGTCAGCGTCTCCTGAGAAATTTCTCCCCACTGGTGGTTAGCCAGGTACCAGGGCTGCAATTATGAGACGTCTAGCAGCGAGCGCTGTGCAGGAAGAGAGCAGCTGATTTAATTAGACGTGAGCAATCATGACATCCTTGGTCACTTTTAATTTCCACATTCAAGTACCGCTCATGTTTTCATGGCAGGTACACATGTAGCCATGTTACTCTGTCTTCTGAAGTCAGGAAGGCACAAAATGGACGAGACGGAAAAGACGAGGAGACACAGGAACATGTAATGGTTTAGCACTGTACTCATGACGTAGCTCGTCTCCCTCAGGTTTTCTTTTTCCCCTGTTCCCCTTTATTCCTCTTTCAAAAGGCTGCCTTATTACATCAGAATGAGAAAGAGAGACGGTAAACAGGCTCTCCTCCCAGCTGTTTCTGTCTCACCTCCCTCACCCCTCCACACACACTCTCTCCATCCCATTTTACTTTCAATTATCATTTGATCCCCCGTCTTCTGTGCACTGCAACTAAGCTAGCTTCCGCTCTCTGTTCGTTTCGTAATCATGCAGCCAGAGAACTTATTCCCACCTCCTCTTTTCTTCTCCTCCTCCTCTTCCTCTCTCTGTTTGGACTGTTTCCCACTTGTTGCATGGTTTTTAAAAGAGGAAAGATGATGGAGGGGGAGGAGGCTAATGCATGTGGTAATGTAGGAAATGTGTTATCTGAACAAAACAAACATTAACAGCATAGCACCGGTAAAACTTTGCCTCTGGCTCATCCCTGTCACTGGTTTGCACTTGGACAGATGCGACAATGACTTTTGGTATCTGCATTTTAAAAATCTTCTTCCTTCACTTCCTTGTGGTGACAGAAACAACTTACAGAGACATATGGTTTTTAAACCATTATCCATCACTGCAGTAATGTTGTGAGACAGTGGAGAAATGGCAACCCTGAGCATCAACGCTTAACTCCAGTGGCTGAAAACAGGACAACTAAAAAAGATGAAAACACAAGAGTAATGGCTTGATAGTCTTTGCATCTTCTTTTAACAATGATTGACAGATTAGACCTCAGGATTTTATTGAAGGTAGATGCCGGAATGCATGATGCAAAATAGCTGTCATGTCATCCATCTTTATAAACACTCTAAGGATCCAACAAATCAGGCACCATCTTTAGTTTTGTTCTTTGTCACACCTTTTATCTTTTATTTTACTCTCAAATCACTGTTACCACCTGGTGTAGTTTGTAGTTTTTAACGTTCTTTCCTTATCAAATTTTTGGCATTGGGCTACAGACTTTAGGGTTATCACTGTGATATGTGGTGTGTCGTTCCTAGAACGAATCAGCAAATAACAGAAAAGAACCAACAACGACAAGCCTGTGTATAAAGTTATGTCAAAGCTGCATCATCAGAATTAGTTAATGAATATTGTAAAGATGAAGGAGGTCACGTTAAATGCATTCATCGCCTATCTTTCCAGTGCAAACCGTGCTAGTTGTGAGCCACAGGGAAATGTGAGTGGTGCAAACATTTAAAGGAAATCTCTCTCTGTCTGTCTGTAAATGTACCGTTACCTTTACATACATATTATGCAAACAGTTTGTCTGCACTGTACAGTTTGTGTCCAATGCATTGTATACACACAGAAAACAACAATATTGAATAAAGGATTTATAGAAAGGAAGCGTGACTGGACTCGTTGATTGACTCTCTGCACAACATTTGTTTTTTACAGACATTGATACACGGCATATCTGAATTTTCTCATGTGTTTAACATAAGAGCACTCAGGTTGACAGTGTCCTCCTCCCAGCATCTCATGCTCACACACACACTCTTTCATCTTCGGTGTTGACTGAAGGGCAGGCTGCATTATCAGCCATTCCAGCAGCAGAAAAGCAGCAGTGAGTGACTGACTTTGCTCAGGAAATGGACAGAGAACTGTTTTCAGCTGCTTGAACAGTCACACATTTAACAAAATAAGCCCTTACAAAGGAAGCTGGTAAAAAGTTTGTGTTTTACGCAGAAAATCGAGCTTTTACTCCGCTCCCCAGAAGTATTTCTTTTTTCAGGAGTTGTATGCTTCACATTTTCCTTGCCATATCTGCATACCTAATTTATTTAATATAATGAAATGACAGAGAACAAATTGTGAGTATGTGTCTCAAGGGGGTGGTTGGGATTGGAAGGCACATATGTATCAGTATTTCATTAGCAACTGGTGGTACATGTACATAAAGTACATGACCTGAATATAACCATGTGACAACCATGTGCTTCCAATACAAGAAACAGTCCAAAGATTATAAAATCATATTAAAGTCCATATAATCCATATTCTATAGAGACATGTCCTCCTTTTCTCTCTCTCCCTCTCCGTATTTCACACTTATAAGTGGAGGTAGAGTAACAGAGAAATATACCACCAGTCAGTTTCCACGGAGCAAAAATATGACAGAGGCAGCTAGAGTATGAAGAGATATATAGAGGGACAGATCAGCAGACACACGCAGAGAACGTTGACATGCAGGAAGACGCTCATCACACACACAGACGTCGCCTGGCCTCCTCTAAGTGACAGATAAACCAGCAAATACTGTAATCAAAATGTGCATATGTAAATGTAATGTAAATGAGGTGTACTTTGAATTAGTGGGAAGGGGTTTCGGAAGGAGTCAAACTTTAATTATATCCAGTGACATGCTGCATGCTTCCCCTCTCATTCAAACCAAATATCGCTCAAATGCTACTTTGAGAGACACCATTTGAGAATTCCTGAGTTGACTCCCCTGTCGTTCCCTGTCATCGCAGGTAATTTGTTCCATCATTTGTTCTGTTACCACGAACACTGTGACATCCAGACTTTATAGTTTCTGTTACAGTGAGATCAGATGTGTGCTTTCAGGTTTGAGCTCTCCAGAAATTCAAAAAGCCACTTTAACATGAGCAATGTGAAGCTCAGGATCGCCTCAGCTGCTCATGTGTTGTTCGTGTATCTGATACAATATGTGCTGTACATGTCAGGGTCTGCATCTGTGTGGTCTCTCTGTCAGCTGGTTTCCAAGATGAAAAATGTGCTAACAGCTCCCTGATGTCTGTATGTTACGTGCACATGAAGCATAATCTGTGTGCACTGGTAACGACCTCCTGTTGGATAAAAATGAAGCTAAAACATTCAGTATCATGCATGTGAGTCAGTCTCAGCTGTCAATCATGATGTTTATAACCTGTACTGCAGCTGATCAATATGCTTTGGCTTCACTTTTGGGGAGCTGTCATGTCGTCCGTCTTTATACACAGTCTATAAGGACGCCACCAGAGACCTCCTGAAGTGATGCAACATCAAAATGTACCATCATAACCTCTTACAGGCACTACTATAGTCTCTCTCACACACTATCATACTCTCATACACAGACTACTGTTCTTATTCACATCAATCAATCTGTCTTACGTTCACTGTCCTTTTGTTCCTTACACGTGGTTATTTGCATTCACATGTACTATTCAATTCTCTTACATGTGCTATTATTCTCTTTGAAATATAATGTATCTGTGCAAAGGAGATCAGTGTTGTGTGTATGAGAGTGAATAAAAGAGATTATGATGGTGCATGTGAAAGAGTGTAGTAGTGAGTGTGAGAGAGTATGATGGTTTTCTCTTGTACGGCCTCTCATATTATTTGGCTTGCCTCAACCAATGAGATCACTTTGGCCAGCAGCTACACTAAAACTCCCATTATGCACAAAGCAAAATGGCTGCACGGTAATCTCTTATTAAAAAGCAGCCAATTATAGACATTTTGTTATCACGCAGCACAAAATGTTTCGATTTCCTGTCTTTTTGATTAATTTCATTAAAACAGCATCGAGTTGGGATTTTTTAGTCTCTTATCTTCCGCAAACTTGCACGCACACACACACACACACACACACACACACACACACACACACACACGCACGCACTGCAGGAGCAATGTGTTTGAGGTGGCATTCAGAGCTCACTCAAGAGCCTGTTTCCATCTCCCTCATTATCATCAAAGACAACAGGCGCTCCAGTGCGCACACACACACACACACACACACACACACACACACACACACACACACACACACACANACACACACACACACACACACATACATACACACATACATACACACAAAGCCATGCATCATAGATGGTTTTCACAGTCATCACAGCTACTTCAAGCCTCCGTGAACAGAAGTAGTGCAGCATGTAGCTCGACTCTCGTGCACTTTCCTCTGTGTGTTTTTTTTAATGGTCTCTCATGTGAGGGGAATTTCCTCGGCCCCCAATGTAGCTTTTAACTGACGCCATTATCTAATATCTAATAATGGAAATCTGCAAAAACACATGAGGTTTTCACACTATAGCGATATGCAAGGCAGTCGGCGGTTTCATTATATCGCCATGGCAACCAGGTTGCCGTCCATCCCTCTGAAAGATGAACCCACCCAAACACATACACTCTTGTAATTACTGCTTCTACATCTCATTTTCCTCGATTGACCGAGGGAGACATAATGAAAAAATCCTTCTTTCATGGCTCAGACGCAGGATCTGGATTATCACAAGTCAATAAAGGTCTGAGCAGAAAATGAGAAATGTAATTTACTGACATGTATTTGTCTGGAAATGGGTCCAAACGTCTGCTCGAGGTTGAAAAACTCCACTGCCTAAACTGTATATATGCACATCAGAGTTCAGACACACGTCATACTGTCACTGTCGACCATTCTTCTTCATCACTTCTCCCTGCTCGCCACTCCTCTTTCTTTGCCTCTTCTCCTACTTCTCCTTCTTCAACACCTTAATCACAATAACAACAGGAAGGGGATGATGAAGAAACATGAGGGCTGGAAGAGAGAGAGGGGAATAATTTGTCTCCCAGGTGATAAGTGACATTTGATGCACCCACACACACCCACACACATACACGCACGCACACACACACTAAGTGAGTGGGGCAGAGCAGGAACCAGTCAAGCCAACACGCTGCCTGAATACTGATTAACCAATCAGAGCCCATTTCTGCCCAGCACCAGAGATACTCGTTGGCTGCCATGGCAACCAAGAAAGCATCACAGCTGAAAGGAGAGAGAGGAATCGATCCGTGCATGTGTGTGTGTGTCCTCCAGCTCTGAGAGAGGAATAAGACGAATAAATCACATTTTCATTATTTTAATAATATCTTATAATAAAACATATTGTTTATTTTTTTACATCAAGTCATCCTGCAGTTCCTGTTTTATTTGTCACGTTGCAAACTCTTCCTGTCCTTTCACTTCCTGATTCTCGGTGACTTGACACTCACACACCTCTTCTATTTAGGGCCGCCCCTGTTCTTCCTGTCAAGAAACCCCTCACACTCTCTGTATGTTCACCAGGTGTGTAGATGTAGTTGTTGGTGTGTCATGTTTTTTCTTCTTGTGTGTGAACCTGCTCGTCTTTTGAGTCTTTAGGATCTGAACTTCCATTAACTGTGAGTAACAACTTTCTACCAACACTCTGCTCTAGTGTGTGTCTCACTGTCCTGCTATGTCACAAGTCTCCTCACATATGAACTTGTTTGTGTTCAGCAGCCATCTTTAATACTTTGAATCTTTCAGGAGTAACGATTGATCTAATGAAAGGTGACGCTCTCCGTGACAAAACAGAGACTGTGCACATCAAATCATTTTCCCTCAATGTTGTTTTTTGTTGTAGTAGTTCTTTTCCAGTAAGTCTGTTTCAATTTGTGATTTGATGCTATAAAAACTTAAATGTTATGACGGACAGCTGCAACTGACTCACGATTGGTCAGGGGCATGTATCTATGGGAACTCGCTACTGTGGCTCCATAAGTAGAGACGCCATCATTGTTTACAGTCTACGTGACAAACGCACAGACCAACTCTGCACTTCCGCTCAGCTCTCTGCCATTTTTGGCCAATCAGCCGTCAGAAAGCCACTGGACACTCCCTGCCAGATATTTCTCTTTCTGGATTTGTTCTGAGCCGAGCTTTGGTAACAGTGTTTCTAACGCACTTTGAGGACTGTGAAACATTTTTTATTATCTGAGCGGCACTGAAAGAGAAAAGAGAAGCAAATTAAAGAGAGGGAGCGCCTTTGTCTCGCCGCTTCGCCAATATTGTTCTCAACTGTCATGCAAATGAGGCTCACTGGCCCGAGAAACATACGGAGAGAGATGAGCAGAACAAAAAGAGTCAATGAAAATCTGCTCTATTATTTCATAAAGAGCCAAAAGCAAAGAGGCCTCTACCTCTTGGTTTGAGTGTAGATCAAGTGGTAGGCAAGGCAGTTTTTTTATTAAGCACATTTCATACTTCATATTAGGATTAAAAGGAAAGCACAGTTTAAAACAATTTGCAAGTGAAATAATCGAGATCTACAAAGAGCATGTTGAAAGAGGTACAATAAATATCTGTATGACAAATGAAATCGGTAGAAATGCATAAAATAAGATTAGTGGACGGATGTAATGATGTGATTCATAATCAGCCTATGCTCTGTAACATGTCATCAGGAATATGAATGAAAGAACTTAGAAACGTCTTATTCAGAATAAGGTCAGTAGTTTGATTATCAGTGTCCATGGAAACGTAGTGCCTGTCTCTGCAGTGAGAAGACATTTAGAGTACATTATAGAACTGC